AATTGATTCAGCAGTTTCAACAGAGAAGATTTTTTTAAAGTAAGCAAACTAGATGAACAAATTGTAAAAAATTGTCTTTACAAGGCAATAACTCCTTAAGGACACATTTGACAATTTTGGTCATATTAACTTTGTAGATCTTACTTTGCTGAACATTTTTGCTGTTCACAGTTTATCTTTATCATTAATAATATTCAAGATAACCAAAAACTGCAAAATTCCTTAAAATTACCAATTTAGTGACAGCAACCCAACAATGGACTGTTAGATTCATCTGAAAATTTCAAGGCTGATAGAACTTCACCTAATGAACACTTATACCCCCATGTCAGGTTTGCTCTAACTCCTTTGGTTTTTAGATATAAGCCAAAAACTGCATTTTACCCCTATGTTCTATTTTTAGCCATGGCGGCCATGTTTTTTGACGAAACAAAAAAATAAAACACAAACTTTATTCTAGATACCCTAAGGATCATTCAGCTTAAGATTGGTTGGAATTGGTTCAGTAGTTTCAGAGAAGATGTTTGAAATAGTTTACACCAGACGGACGACGACGACGATGGACGCCAAGTGATGGCTAAAGCTCACAGTTCCTTCGGAAAGGTGAGCTAAAAATGGAATCAAGGCAATGGTCATATGCAAGATGAAATAAATTGTTAACACAGATATGTCTTGCCTTTTTGTTATTTTAATTATAAAATGCCAATAGCAATACTTTCAATGAACCATGACTGAAGGTACAGGACCAAAAAATCTTCAGGGAAACGAGATGTGCCAATGCTTTTACAACTGCATACCAAATATCATTGTCAGACCTACTAGTAGTTCCCCATAAAACTGACTTAATCACAAGCCAATACATTGTTGACGCTGCTGAATGCAGGAAACAGCATACTGATGTCTTGTTTTTTGACTCTGAGAAGGTGAGACAAAAATTTGTAAGGGTTCCGCCGAACCCAGTGTCTCGCCTACTTTTGCGGTTAGTCGTAGGCTCAACAAAAATTTGGGAAAAATTAAAAAATTTTCCTCTAGATACTATCTTTTGATTGTAAGAAGTTCTGTTCAAGTTTGGTAAAAATCCAAGAAGGTTTATGAATCTAATAAATGTTTTAAAAACTTTAACTGCAGACTGTACATAATGTTAACTGGAATAAAACTAAGTCCATCTATAAGTAATATACGGAAAAACAGGAAACAAATTTTTACAAAATTTCCTTCTAGATACTAGCTTTTGATCATAAAGAAGCTTCTGTCCAAGTGTGGTACAAATCCAGGATAGTTTAAGAAGAAGTTATTAAAATTTTGAAAGCTGTAACCACAGAGTGAATGTAATGTTAACTGGCAGAAAAACTAAGTCCATTTATAAGTGAAATATGGATAAACAGGATTTTTTTTTAACAAAATTTACTTTTGAATACTATCTTATGATCACAAACAAGCTTCTGTCCAACTGTGGTACAAATCCAGGATAGTTTAAGAAAGTTATTAAAATTTGAAAAACTTTAACCACAGAGTGAATGTTATGTTAACTGGCAGAAAAAAACTAAGTCCATATATGAGTAAAATATGATAAACAGGATTTTCTTTTACAAAATTTTCTTCTGGATACTATCTTATGATAATAAATAGGCTGTCCAAGTTTGGTACAAATCCAGGATAGTTTAAGAAAGTTATTAAAATTTGAAAAACTTTAACCACATAGTGAATGTTATGTTAACTGGCAGAAAAACTAAGTCCATTTATGAGTAAAATACGGAAAAACAGGATTATTTTTTTACAAAATTTTCTTCTGGATACTATCTTATGATCATAAACAAGCTTCTGTCCAAGTTTGGTTGAAATGCAGGATAGTTTAAGAAAGTTATTAAAATTTCCAAAACTTTAACCACAGGGTGAATATTTGTGGACACCGCCACCGACGGAATGTAGGATCGCTTTGTCTCGCTTTTGCGACAAAAGTCGCAGGCTTGACAAAAATCAGACCGTAAGGCTGCATACCAAATATGGATTATCTAGCTCTTCCACCGTCTGGATAGATCAGTATCCCTATGTTTTGCATGTGACAGAAAAGTCAATAAATTAGATCATTTTAAAAAGCATTCTTGATCTATTAAAATAATTTGCAGTCAATCAGGTTACCAGCAAGTCCAATGAACAATTCTGTAAAGTAATACCAAAAGTATCATTTGTGTAAAGTTTGGTTTAAAATAGCCAAGAAGTTACATGAAAATTTCAAAAAATTTAAAGAATGATAATGACAAGACACCAAGTGATGGGAATATAAATTATATGTCATACCAATGACCACAAAAACCTCTTCCCCCTTCATTTGTCAATACAGACTCAAATAAAATATAAGATGGGTTTTCTCAAAGAAAATTTTATTTACCAATTAATTTCATTAAAATGCATCATGATACAAAATACTCAAATGAAACAAGACACAATCTCCTCATCAGGTGTTCATAAATATCAAAGAAATTGTCACTATTAAGCTTTTGGCAACAGTCAGTTGCAGATCCAGGATCTTTTAAAAAGGGGGTGAAATTTTGTAAAACTGTATATAATTCACCTAGGTGAAAAAAATTTGGGGACAATTTTATGCTAAAAAATCATATAAACAGCGAGAAACATGAGATTTTTTGTGCAAACAAAAGGGGGGGCGTATGCCTTCTATAATCTTCCCCACCCCTCCCTGGATCTGCCACTGCCAGTTAAAAATCAACTGTATAACTAAAAGGAGGAAAAGGATCTGAATCATAGGTTAGGTAAATATTACAATTACACAAATAAATGACAGTACTGAGGATTCTATCTGACCAATTTCTCAGACTGGTTGTTATAGAAAAAAAGATGTCTGGTTTGAGATACAGTTATTAAGTTTTGTATAAGTTTCTATCAAAATGACTTTTTTGCTTGATATAAAAATGTGAGTCTTCCCATTACTTAATACCAAATATATAATTTTTTTTATATAGATTTTATAAAATTGATGAATCCTCAGTTTGTCTCATACTTTTAAATAAGACTATTAAAAATACATCTCTAATACGAAGGAAAACTATGGTATAAACCAATAAAAAAGGTTGAAAAATACATGAAATAAATTCAATTTTAAGGTGTACTAAACTAATTTACTGGGTAATTAAGACAAACCAAAAACCTTGATCTGTCCACAACTTAGATCACCTTGGAAAAAAAATAACTGCATTTAATTCCTCATATTTAACCCTAAGCTGTTTAATTTTTTTATTTTTTTTTCCAAGCCTATTTTTTAGCAAACTTATTTAATTTCTATATTGAAGTAGGATATATATTTATATACTGGTATATATTTTCATTTAAGGAAACAAGTACTTTTTCCAAGTATGGGGATAACTAGTGCCAAGCTATTATTTCATTGTCTGATTTATCCATTTGGAAATGTCGTACAGTGAGCAAGTGTATCATCTGTTTGCTCATCCATCTGCAACTTCAAACCACAATTAAAGAATTAAATGGACGTTTCCTAAACTTTCAAATAATCTTTAGTATCTGTCGACATTGTGTACCATTTTTATTCACTTCTAAATTTAAGGTTCTCCATGGATTTTTTTTCCATTTTTTCATCTTGTTACACATCTTGAATAATTATAGATAGGATGGTTTATAGCTATTTTTATCATCGATTTAGTTACAGCATATTCTGAACTAACATCTATGAAGCTTGCAATTTCATTGGTCAATCTTCAAGGACTGCATCAAAAGTTAAATTCATTTATTTTCTATCTTATCCTTCAAGAAGAGTTAAGAGCATAAAAATGTCAGATCTCATTACTTAAATTGATATTTTGTATTGCATGTATCAGCAAAATTTATTAATTTTCTTCACAAACTAAATCATGTAAAGGCTTGGTGTAACAAGATTTGACAATAAAAACAAGTAAAATCACATAAAATCCACTAAAATGATATAAAACCAAATAAAACACAAATCTTGTTAATTATTAAGCAAAACCTTATAAAGTTTAATTAAAAGCTACAGTGTCTTAAAGCAAAATTTATTCTAAATTCTTTTTAATGTTATGAAAATTTTGTCATAATGAGATCCAATTATTAAAAACAAGATTAAAAACACCATAGAAAATATTCAAACCATCCTATCCTTCACATGATTAACTTCTTTCCAAGTTGATCAAAATATTTAGAAGCTCCATTCATTTCTATTGGGAACCTCTAAATTCTATCATGATAAAGAAATAAAATACACACTGCCATCAGTTACAGAAGATAATCTGAAAGTTTTAATGAACACCTTCCAATAGTATCTAAGCTGTGGATGAGAGATGATGATGGACAAACAGACAGATAAATCTTATTTAACTGACTCGCCACCAGTGCAGAAGGTCATGGGAAATTGATCAGCAGCTGTGATTATAGCTGCTCCTTTGCTAAGCATGCAGCATCTAGGAGTAATTAAAGAGCAAAGACTTGTCAGATCCAAGTCAGAATAATGTGTCCGGGAAGGTTAAATGTCTTCCTGCAGACTGTTACCTTGTGAACTAGCACATTAAAAAATCTAGCTCAGCGTCTCAGTCTAGTACAAAGCAGGGTCTAAATTCATATCACATTAATATGTTCTCATCCTAAAATGCATTTAATTTGCCACTGGACATTAAACAGCCATTTTCCATCAAAATAAAAGAAAAAATTACTTTATAGGTTCCTCATAAGCCTTGGAAGGGTTAAATATAGTAAATAATTCTTAAGAAGTTAAGCACAATCCTCAAAAAACAAACCTTTAAAAAATTCCTTAAAATATAAATAACGATGAACGAGAAACAACAAAAAAATCATCACATAAAAATGAATAAAAAAAACAATCTGCAAAAACTGTATAATTATTTTCACTTGAATGGCCTCAGATGCTGAATAATGCATTTATGTTTAGCCATCAAAGTTCTATTTTATTGGTTTTTGACTTAGTATATTCATTTCACAAATCACTTGTAAGACTTACACGTACAGAACTTAAAAATAATGTTAACTAATGTAAGTTTTATGGGTACTTTGTCAAACCATATGGCATACCTCTGCACCCTTCAAATGAAAATAATTTCAGTTTTATTTTTCATCAATAACAGTACAATAAAAATAGTGAAAAAATATATCTATAATTTGGATAACTCAATACAGCAATAAAAACAAAACTTGTTAGAAATTCATTACAACTGTCTACGGATACTACTAAAAATATAGCAACAGTTCATCCGATGGTTTGCAGGATTTTACCAAACAAGGCAGCAACAGTTACACTTCCAACTGTAAAAGAAAAAAAAAGAGTTAAATTTCAATTGATAATACTTAATATTAAAATAAATCTTTAAGAGCCTTTAAAAAATTGTGGCTATTTTTCATTAAATAAAAAGATATCAGTGCATGTAAAAACTCTTTGTTTGCTACTTATATTTATTATTTCAAAATAAATGGTATTAAAATTGCAGCTATTGTAAAAATAAATAAACTCTACTAAATACACTTAAAATAAATTTTCTGGACTTAACAGTGGAACCAAAATACCTGATCTATTCAGTAGCTTCTGAAAAATTGATAAACTTGACCATCTTCATACTTACATGATGAAACATAAATTTGTTGTTGATAGGTTGTAATTTATTGACTCTCAATCCAAAATTTGTTTTCTCCATGATAAAATGTAGAAATTTAATTTATAAAGAAAAAAGCAAGACTAAATGAAAAGCTGTTATCATACATTTTTTATGACAGCAGTGGTTTTATCCTTACAATAAAAAGTGAGTTATCTCCCCTAAATATCTCTTATTCAGTACCTGTTGATAAGGTACATCATTTATCAAATGAGATATCTACTTTAAAAGTAAAGGTACAACATTTAATATTTAAATATATTTTGGATAGATGTATAGATATCTAGGTACATTGGCAATAAGATAACATAAGTTTAAGTTGTATGTTGATAAATAAATTCTCACCTAAATCAGCTCTGATTACTACCCCAACAAGTAACCCTATGGAAACCTGATGCTAACCTGGAAAATAAAGTTAGTCAGTTATTCAACTTTTCAACAACAAAAAGTTAATCATAATAAATTTAAAATAGTACTAGGATAACAAGGAAAAATTTGGTATTCTGAATGATAAACTCATGGTTTAAAATTGCAATAAATATATATTCAACCTGTATTTAATCATAGTTTATAATTTTTTTTTGGATATTTAAAACCTTTATAAAATTGATGCTAAATACTACAATTTTTTCAAAAATAAAATAAGAATGCCCCCACTGAAGCCTGCTTATAATAAATGGAAATACTTTTTAAGAGCATTTGATGTCACTGCTAGTGTGGAAACGAAAAAATTGACAATTTCCCAAGTTGGAAAGGGGCATAAATCTAACACTGTAAGTGACCAACTGTCTAAATTTGAACTCGGTCTGCTAGTTTTGGTTCTAATAGCATTGTGTATTAGTTTCATAAAATTTAGATGACTAAAGTTAGTGTGTGGAAACGAAAATGTGACGGATGGACGGTCAAAAGTAAAACTTATGCCCCTTTCACCTAGCGCAGGGGGCATAAAAAGCTTGAATACTTACCAACATTTTAACAGTATCAGATATCCAAGTCTTACTCCCAACACCATGAAAACATTGACATTAGAACAGCCTAAAATTAAAATAAATATCAAAATATACATGTTTTACAGATCTACCTATGCCTAAGAAGACTAATGCAATCATGCTGTGTTTCCTTTTTTATAAAATTGTTGTAGACATAGATTCATTTTATATTTGTGGAAACCAATTTTCTTGCATTTTGTTGGCAAAGGATAACCCAGAATTCAAATATTTCAATGTTCTACAAAGTAAAAATTTTCTATAATACAAAGTTGAGAATGGAAATGGGGAATATGTCAAAGAGACAACAACCCGACCAGAAAGCAGAAAACAGCTCAAAGGCCACCAATGGGTCTTCAACACAGTGAGAAAATCCTGCACCCGGAGGCGGGCTTCAGCTGGCTCCTAAATAAAAATGTGTACTAGTTCAGTGAAAATGGACGTCATACTAAACTAAAAAATATATAAATGAACTAAAATTAAAAAACATACAAGATTAACAAAGCTTGTTTGCAGAATTTGGCAATCGTGAAATCAAATATGAAGATACAATTTTTCCTCAATTCATGAAAAATTGGTACCCACAGAAAACAAATGAATCCACAGTAGAATCATCTTCAATATATAAACTTGATACCAAAGGTAGATAACAAATAAATACAAGTACTGTCATACAAATGATTATGGTTATGTTCCAAATCAAAAATGTGTTGGGCAATGATGTAGACATCCTCAAAGTCAAACATTGATAGAAAAGAACCCTAAAGATTTTTTGATTTTTTTTAAATGTCTATTTATCAGTGGCAGATCCAGGGGTGTAGAGGGCATACGTCCCTTTTGATCGCCCCCAAAAATAATTATTTCAGATTTATATATTTTAGAAGAAAATTGTCCAAAATTTTATTCATATATACAACGGTATATAATGTGTTTTATGGAATAACACATTCCCCCCCTTTTTCAAAAATCCTAGATTTGCCGCTGATTATAACCTTACATTTTGTGGAATATTTAAACTTACCAAATATTTCTCTTGGTAAAAGCCTCAGACTTGGTTTAAGATTTAATTGACCATCTTCCTTAGAGCTGTTTTCCAAGCTGCCAAGAAGGCTGTCCTCATCTTATTGTCAATCTATTTTTTTGTCCATTTGTTTTTCTAAATAAAGTTATACATATGAAAAATATCAGATGAACTTTTGAATAATCAGCTTTTTTGAAAGTTTTACAAAATGATTTGTAGTGACCCATAATTTCTCCCACCCTACATATCTATTATTTAGACTTCTGTTTACATTTTTTTTTTTACAGAGCTCTAAATAATAGTAAATTTTAGATAGTATACATCTGATATGTAAAAAGAACCCAAACTTGTACAAATATCAATATTAAAGTATATAACAAGTTAAATTCCCTATTTCTGAGGGTATTTCGAAAATATGAGGAGTTAAACAGGGGTATTACTTCCCTTTGCCCAAAATTTCACCCTGTTAGGACTCCACATTCTTGCTATATTTAACAAAAAAACAAAATATAGCACAGTTAAGATTAAAAAATAATTAAATAACAAAGTTCAACACATTTCAATAACATATTTAGTACTTTAGTTTTCACCTATAGGGCCATGGTGGGCAATTGTGGGTAAAGAGGTGTTTAGCACCAAAAATCAACCAATCAATGTATTTTCACCAAAATTTTCTTCAACTATGCTTTTGCAAAATATTCTTAAAAAAGATTTTATGCTTCATTTCAAACTCACCATAAAAAACAAAAATTGTACAACATATATATCCAGCTCAATAAGATAACATTTGTTTTTTTGTTTTGTTTTTTTTTCTTTTTGTTTTTTCTTTTTCTTTTAAGATTATCCATTCTTAACCTACTGGAAGTATTTTTGACTAGACACTGACCATAATAATAAATGTAAAGTAGGTCAAAAACCCAGTTCATAATATCCATAAGCATAACAAAAAAATGTCAAGAAAATAATGGACAATAGCAGAGCTATTGGAATAACCCAAGGGGCTAAAATGGAAAAAAAATTCAAATTAAAAATACAAGTTAACCTACAACTTCCGATCTTGTTGAAAATGGAGAATCTTTACAATTTTTTTTTTTTTTTTTTTTGTAAAAAATTATTTACAATTCCTGAAAAATACACAAAAATTGTCTGAATTACATTCTTTACTGTTACATCACACAGCAATTTAATGCAGCCACAGTTAAAGTTATCTGAAAAAGAAATTGGCATTCTTTAACATAGCTGTCAATACAATAAAATTCGTAAGGGTTCCGCGGAACCCAGTGTCTCGCCTACTTTTGGTGTTAATCGCAGGCTCAACAAAAATAAAGAAAAAAATTAATAAAAATATTCCCCTCTATACTATGTTTTGATTGTAAGTAGCTTCTGTCCAAGTTTGGTAAAAATCCAGGATAAATTATGAATCTAATAAATGTTTTAAAAACTTAAACTGCAGAATGTATGTAATGTTGACTGGAAGAAAAACTAAGTCCATTTATAAGTAAAATACAGAAAAAATGGAACAAAATTTTATCAAAATTTCCTTCTAGATACTATCTTATGATCATAAACAAGCTTCTTTCCAAGTTTGGTATAAATCCAGGATAGTTTAAGAAAGTTATTGAAATTTCAAAAACTTTAACCACAGAGTGAATGTAATGTTTCCTGGCAGAAAAACTAAGTCCATTTATAAGTAAAATACGGAAAAATGGAATTTTTTTTTTACAAAATTTACTTCTGGATACTATCTTATGATCATAAACAAGCTTCTTTCCAAGTTTGGTAGAAATCTAGGATAGTTTAAGAAAGTTATTGAAATTTTAAAAACTTTAACCACAGAGTGAATGTAATGTTAACTGGCAGAAAAACTAAGTCCACTTATAAGTAAAATACGGAAAAAATGGAATTTTTTTTTTACAAAATTTACTTTTGAATATAATCTTATGATCATAAACAAGCTTCTGTCCAAGTTTGGTAGAAATCCAGGATAGTTTAAGAAAGTTATTAAAATTTCAAAAACTTTAACCACAGAGTGAATATTTGTGGACGCCGCCGCCGACGACGACGCCGACGGAATGTAGGATCGCTATGTCTCGCTTTTTCGACAAAGTCGAAGGCTCGACAATAAAAACTAAAACAATATTTAATGCAAAAGAATAATCAAAGTAATTTGTTGACATATATTTTTGCCTACTGTAAATTCAGAAATTATTGTGTGCATCTATTATAGCGATTTTTAAAAAATGGACAAACATGCTAGATTAATTATTGCAATTTCAGGAAAATCTACATACAGATATATACATCAGATATCAGAATGTGAGTTATTATTGCGATACTCGACCATTTACATTATTCGCATTAATAAACCTCACAATAATTTCTGAATTTACAGTACGAGTTTTTATTAGCAAATATGGATAAAAAAACAAGTCGTTGGTTCCTGTTTGTCAAATTTATTTTGAATTTACAACATTTTCAACAATGTTTCAACATTAATCAGGCAAAAGTTTTTTCATTTGATTTGTTTCACATTTTGTCATGTTGGGGTCTTTATAGCTTACTATACAGAACAGGTTTTGTTCATTGTTGAAGGATGTATATTGACCTTTAGCAACTTACATCCACATCATTTGGTCTCTTGATTGATAAATGTCTCATTGGCAATCATATCACATCTCTTTATTTTCATATGGCAACATTTTTAAATAACAAGATAAGATTTCCTTAATCGTAAGTTTTGACCTCACTTATTTATCTTGATACCTCCCTCTAGATTATATATATAATTATAACTAAAGAAAATATTAAAATGTAAGATATCTGTACATAATTATAAGGGCCCTTTATAGCTTGCTGTTCGGTGAGCCAAGGCTCCGTGTTGAAGGCCATACTTTGACCTATAATTGTTTACTTTTTATACATTATGACATGGATGGAGAGTTGTCTCATTGGCACTCATACTACATCTTATTTGTAATAAAAAATTTTGCATTGGTTCTTACCATAAAAGTCAGCTCCAATGGCCATTCCCAGCCTCAATCCTTACGGACTAGCTGTAATGCTAATCTGAAATATAAAACACTTCATCATTAAAAATTGTTTAAAAGGATCATACACTATTTATTATATAGAAATGGGTTATATATATAAGTAATTGATGTTGAAAACATGTCGTTTAGACAGCAATTCAGCAACCAAATAAATTTTTACAGTAATCAATTTAGATTCTTAATTTACTTATATATAATGGTACTCAGTTAAAAGAGAGAGAAGACCTCTGACCAAACTTTTATAAACCTTCAAGCCTAGAGGACATGATTTTTATAAATATTTTTTATAATACATTTTTTTTTTTTCTCAAAGCAGGAATAGCATACTGGTACCTACCTACATATTAGCTGTATTAGACTACCAAGTCTTATTCCCACACCATGAAAACACAAGTCTCAGAAAGAACTAAAATAGAAATTAAAATTGACATTATATATTTATCTCAAATCCATTTCTCTGTCAACCTCAAATTTACTATCAACACCTGTTTGTAAAATAAATATGAGATGGAAAAACAAAAAATAAGTCAAAAGATTAATGATTTGAATCTCAACTGCACAAAAATCATCTGCATATTTTACCGAGTTATCTCCCAGTGAATATAAAAAACTTGCTTTAAATTGTACTAGTTTCCCCTTGAAGTTTTATTCCATCTCTGGATTTTCTATTCAATTAGAAAATCTTGTTCATGTATCTGGTATCTTAATATATTAAACTTAAAATTAATTCCGCAATGGTGTTTTCTAATCAGAAGTTCTAGAGAATGTATATAAATTGTTTGGCTTGATTAAACTTGCCTGATTATTTTCTTGGCAACGCCTCAGACTTGATTGAAGATTTATTGAACCATCTTCCATGGAGCTGCTCTCCTGGCTGCCAAGGTGGCTGTCCTTTTTTCAGTGCCAATCTATTTTTGTTCATTTGTTTTAGAAATAAAGTTATATATACAAAAAAAATATCAGATGCACTTCCAACTAATAACTTTTTTGAAAAATTTCACCAAATTATTTTTAGTGACCCATAATTTCTCCAACCCAAGATATCTATTATCTAGAGCTCTACTTACAATTTTTTTACAGAGCTCTAAATAATAGTTGATATTAGGTAGTATACATCTGATATTGGAAAAAATAATATACACAAATGTTAATATCCAAGTTAAAAAAAAACCTAACACTGAGGGAATTTCAAGTATGTACAGTTTAACAGGGGTATAAAACATTACCTCCCTTTGACCTAAATTTCACCCTGTTAGGACTCCACATCCTTGCTATGTTTAACAAAAATACAAAAGAGTATAATAAAAAAATAATTTAATAACAAAAATCCTACTCATTTCAATATCACATTAAGTACATTTTGTACTTAATTTTTACCTAGGGGTCTTGGTGGCTGTGTGTTCTCTGTAGTTCATGTGGCATGTCAACACTTGAGGTTGTGAGTTGTGAGGTTTGACTCTGGTCTTAATTGACTAGGAAAGCCAGTTTTCCTTCTGAATGTCAGTGGTTCTCTCCTGTTACTCCAGCTTCCCTTAACCGATAAATAAATGGCCATCAAGATATAGCTTATCATGCTCAAAGTGGCATTAAACACAAAAGAAAATAATCATTTATGCTTTGTTAAATTCAGATAAAAATAACAAAAAAGCGGAAAAATATATATCTAATACTCTAAGTAATTCAGATTCAGGAAACCCAATAAATAAAATTCAATAAAATAACATTTGTTTTTCTTTCTTTTTCTTTTCTTTCTATTTTTTTTTTTTTTTCTTTAGATTATCCATTCTTAACCTACTGGAAGTGTTTTGATTAGACACTGACCATTGCTAATATATATTAAGTAGATCTTCAAGTAAAATTGGTCCTTTTTTGGTATAATTTCAAAGTACAAATTAAACTACATTCCAAAAACTAGTTCAGCAACCAATAACTTCCAGTCTTGTTGAAAATGGAGAATCTTTACACTATTTTTTTTTTTTTTTTTTGGAAAAAATTATAAACAATTTCTCAAACATACACAAAAATTGTCTGATTTACATTCTTTACTGTTACACAGTTACATCAGGTAGTCATACATGCAGCCACAGTAAAAGTAACCTGAAAAAGAAATATACATTCTTAAACATAGCTGCCAAACAGATATAAAAATTAAAACAATATTTCATGCAAAAGAATAATAAAATTGTATTTGTTGAGGTATATTATTTAACTTCCACTTTTTATTTGCAAATGAGGATGAAAAACAAGTTGTTGGTCTCCGTCTGCCATATTTGTTTTGAGTTTAAGGTGGTACATAACACTACAGAGAGATAACTCTGTAAAAATCAGCTGAACGTTTTAATCACATTTTATTGTTAAGAAAATATTAAGCTTCTCAATGATCAAAATACTGCTATATATATCCAATGAATTTTTTCTGATAAAGTCATTGGTTCAAGTTCTTTGAAATTTTTATATTTTTGTCGAAGGGTCAAAGTAAATATTTTGTGAAAATTAAACGAGCCAAATCAATTTTAGTCAAGGTGTTTGGTACCACCTTAATAGTTTTATCATAAATCAGGCAAATGGTTTTCTGGTTTGAATAGTTTTACATTTTGTCATGTCAGGGCCTTTTATAGCTTACTTTACAGTACAGATTTTGTTCATTGTTGAAAGATGTACAGAGGATGACCTTTAGTTGCTTACATCCGTGTCATTTGGTCTCTGGTTGATAGTTGATATTTACAGATAACAGATGAAACAAGATTTCCAAAAATATTATTTTTTACTTTTCTTATCTTGCTACCGCCTTTCAGATTATATATTATTTATCAATTTTTAAATCTACATTTGTGTATAATTAAAATCTAGAGGCATTTATATGCTCTTAGATGAATAGTTCATAAATCTTTGTATTGGTTCTTACCATAAAAAGTCAGCTCCAATGGCCATTTCCAGCCTCAATCCTTACAGACAAGCTGTGATGCTAACCTGAAATATAAAATGCTTTGTCATTCAAAATTGCTGTGCCTTAACTCCTCAATGTCAAATCATAAATCTATAAAAAAAACCTAAAGGGATGTTATTTTAATAGATATAAACCAGTCACCAAAGTTTCATGAAAACTGCTCAAAGCACTTTTGAGTTATTGTCTGAAAACTGGAAAACCACACTTTTTTATGAATAAAATCCCATAACACGGAAACCTAAATATTAATCTAAAATTTATAAAAATATAAAAGAAGCTTATGTCAATAGATATAAACAATTCATCAAAGTTTCAAGAAAACTGCTGAAAGCATTTTTGAGTGATTGTCCGAAAATTGGAAAACCACACTTTTTTAATGAATAAAACTACGAAAAGTAAAATCTAATATTTATAAATATCGAAAGGGGGCTCAAGTCAATAGATATCAACAATTCACCAAAGTTTCATGCATATTGGTTAAAGTGTTTTTGAGTTATTGTCCGACATGTTGACGACAGCATACAACTGTATACCCTAATATGTACCATAAAAGGGCGTATAAAAAGGATCACTGTTTTATACTATATTTATATTATATAGAAATGGTTTATATTTATATAATATATATTGAGATTAGACAGAAATCCAACAACCCAACAAAATTTTAATGCAATCAATTCAGATCCTTAAATTTACTCATATAAGGAACTGATAAATGAAAGAGTACACTTCTGACAAAACTCTTATAAACTTTAAAGCTTAGGACATAATTTTTCCAAATTATTTTTATAATACATTTGGGTTTTTTTTCCCTTCAAAACAGGAACAACATATTACATGAAGTACCTACCTACATATTAGCTGTATTAGACCACCAAGTCTTATTCCCACACCATGAAAACATATGTCGCAGAAAGAACCTAAAAAGAAATTAAAATTGACAAATTATATATATTTTACAAATTCATTTCTCTGACAACCTCACTTTTAATATCAAAACCAGTTTGTAAAATTAATATGAGAAGGAAAAACAAAAAAAAGTCAAAGACTTAGGATTTGAATTTCAACTGCACAAAAATCTGCATATTTTACAGAGTTGCGTCCCATTGAATGAAAACAAAACTTGTTAATATTGACCACTTTCGAGTTCATTGCATTTGCTTCAAAATCTTTGATTTTAGTGAACATCATTAGTGTGTTTAGCGGCATCATCACTTCCTTCCCATGTTAAGCGAGTGGTTGAAAAAATATGATGCTATATTGCACAAATTATTTGGCAAATTAAATTCTGATAATTGACTGCTGTCATTAAGGAATTGTGATTATGTACCTTTGGAACAAATATTATTTCTATGTTTAACCTGTATAATGATGATCAAGAAGATGCTTGATCGATGAACTTTAATAGTGGAGGGATACAGGTGGTCCCCTCTCTCTGTTAAATGACGTCATAAAGGTGTGCATAATTGACAAACTTATACCCCGCCACATTCTGTATGTATGTGCCTGTCCCAAGTCAGGAGCCTGTTATTCTGTGGTTGTCGATTGTTTATGTGTTACATATTTGTTTTTCGTTCATTTTTTGTACATAGGTTAGGCCGTTAGTTTTCTCGCTTGAATTGTTTTACATTGTCATTTCGGGGCCTTTTATAGCTGACTGTGCGGTATGGGCTTTGCTCATTGTTGAAGGCCGTACGGTGACCTAAAGTTGTTAATTTCTGTGTCATTTGGTCTCTTGTGGAGAGTTGTCTCATTGGCAATCATACCACATCTTCTTTTTTATATTTTCCAGTGAATGACATAACTCGAAAGTGGTCTAATGTACTAGTCTCCCTTTGAAGTTGTATTCCTAGTCCTGGATTTACTATTATTTTAATAGAAAATCTTTTTCATGTACCAGGTACCTTAAAATATTAAAACTGAAAATTATAATTCCTCAATGATGTTTTGCATGCAGAAGATAAGGATGTTGTTTGTTGTCTTTTAAAATATTGTAAATTCAGAAATTATTGCGTGCATTTATTATTGCGATTTTTTAAAAATGGATAAAAATGCGAGATTAATAATTGCGATCTACAGATATATGAATCAGATATCAGATTGAGAGTTCTTATTATTGCGATATTCTCCCAGTCGCATTATTCGCATTAATAAAAACCTCGCAATAATTTCTGAATTTACAGTATGCTTTTTTTATTAAAAGTTCTAGAGAATGAATAGAAACTGTTTGGCTTAAATAAACTTGCCTTATTATTTTCTTCATAAAGCCTCAGACTTGGTTGAAGATTTAATTGACCATCTTCCTTGGAGCTGCTATCCTGGCTGCTTTTATATCCTATTCAACATAGGTTTTTATGCTGATCTGCTACTGAATCCATTTTATCCTATGATGAAATGTCCTTTCCATAGTACAAATATACAATCATCACTAGAATATTCCAAAGCATCTCACAGTATTTTCTTTTTCCAATCAAGGCACCTGGTGGAATTCTCGATATAACATACAGATAATTTAAATTTATTCATAAAATACAGAAAAAAATATCAGATGTGCTATTTAACAGGCAACTTGTATATTGAAAATTTACCAAATGTTTTTAGTACCCCACAATTTCTACCACCCATTAAAAGTATTATTTAGAACTATGTTTACACTATTTTTTATTTACAGATCTCTAAATAATAGCTTATATATCAATTAGCAGACATCTGATATGTAAATACTTATACAAATTTAATCAAAAAAGACTAGTTATTGGCAAACAATTAGGGGTCCTCCAGTATAAGGAGTAAAACAGGGGTATTACCTCCCTTTGCCCTGTTAGGACTCCAAACACAGTACCTTAAGTGATAGGCTTAAGTATGATACACTCAGTCATTAACAAGTCTGTGATGGTATGAAACAAAAAATCATAATTAATTTTGCTGCCACTTATTTTCTAACTGCATTTTTCATTCAAGACAAAACAAAAATGTACAGCAAGAATGAGTTGTATAAAAAAACATCACCGGCATTTATAAAAAAATATTTTTGAAGCATACCGGTAGTTTAACAGAACACCTCCTCTTTTTTAGGTAACTACCAGTCAATAATGTACATAGGTGTGAATTTGTGCTTAATTCTCATGGTAAAGTAATCATGCATGGTCCAAAAATGGATCGTAGACTCAACAGCTGGTTTACACAGATTGCTTTTTTAACAATAGAAGATGGCCTGTACTGAAATTTAAATATATGGGAATATAAAATGTAAAAGTGGGGGGAAATATTTGAACTTCAACATATTGGAAGGCAGTCTCTGTTGATTTGAAAACTATCGCTAAGTTTCAAAGATCTGGGTTAAAATTGATACCATCTTTAAAATCATTTTCCTGAAAAAAAAGTCAGGAAAAATGGAAAAGATTATCAACAATTGCATAGAAGCAGGTGAACAACTTCTATATTTGTGCAATAATTCTGTGAAATTTCAAAGATTTAGATTGAAAACAGCAGGAGTTGATTACACAAAATAGTTACTGTCTTTGCAAATTTTGATGAAAAATGATACAAGTTCCAAAATTAAAGTTAAATAGGGAAAAATTACTCAAGGAATTCCATAATAGCAAGTGTGTAATTTTTCTGTGAGGTGTTTCATGGATATGGGTTGAAAACTGCAGGAGGAATTGAATTCTCAAAACTGCTACTATCTTTCATAAATTTTGCAGACAAATGACATTCCCAAGTTTGGAAAAATGAGGAAAAAATCATCAAACAATTCCTGTCCATGGTACAAGAAACACTGAAATAAAAAAGTACAAATATGATGAATTATTTAGTCTGAAAGACTTTGATTGGTCAATCAATGTTTACCAAATTCAAAATCAAAATTCTAGGAGACACTTTAATTGATTTGTTTTTTAAACTTTGTTTCTTAAACTTTTAATACTTGAAGAAAAACTGTTCCAAAATTTCAATTCAAAAAGTAATGTTTTTGTTCTCAAAAATATGCTAAAAAGCATATTGATTAATAATATCAAATTTCATTTTTCATAATACTGCTTCCAATGATTTCCATTGGATAGGAAAGGAAAACACTGATATCTTGCTATAAATAGAGATGGACTGACATGTGGTAACTCTTGGAAACCACTGGTTCCTTGAACGGATAACAGTCAAAACTGAACAAGAGTTCTGTATTCAATATACAGACTACAGGAACAGCTCTTTTTAGCTATTTGGAGATAAAACAGATCCACAGTAAAATCTTTAATTCATTAAGTGATTAAGAGACAAGTATTGAAATCCCCATGGTCTAGAACAGGGTCCAATTGGTTGGTTAATAGAAATGATTGTATGCAATTCTTGAAAATTGTTGGGAGTCTAGAAATTATTTTGCAATGTTATTTAATAGAATTCCATGTAGCAAATTTATCTATGTTGAAGTTTGAAAAATTTGATATGGTTAAATCATCAATCTAATGACTATTTCAATAAAAGATTTATATTGTGTAAAATGAAATTCATATTTCAACAAACTTATGACAATTCAAATAGTTAAAATGCACATTCATTGGAAAATTTTCATGTAAAGAAGTAAATTTATAGCAATAATCAGCTTCTTATTTAAAATTCTAACCTTGAAATGATCCTGCTCAATGTAGTAACTTTTGATTAAGTAAATTGATAGAATTCTGTAAAATAGGCAAAATATATAAGGTGTACGTGATATCATTAAATTCATTAATCACAAAATGGCTTCGGGAGTTAAAAATGAGAAAGTTTTTTTGAGGATAACTTTGAAAAGAAAAACAGAAACTTTACAAACCTTGTCTACAATTAATCATGATGAGCAATTGTTAAATGGGATGAAAAAGTAAAATAAAAACAAGTTGTCAATTTTGTTCTGATAAAAATCAAAAAAGTTACTATTTATTTTTAAAATTGATTAAAAATACAATGATTTTAGTAAAATTTGGACAAAAAAGGCATTAAAAATAGCTTGTTCCAAAAACTCATTGGTAGAATCTTGAATTTAATCTAATCAAGAGTTATCTCTCTTACTACATAGCACTGGTTTACAGTAGCGTTAAGAAAATCAAAGAAATAAACAAAAATATTACTAAACTATTATACAATATTTCTACCTTCTGATGAAGTTTGATAACATGTATGTTGGAAGCAAACGGAGAGTATTTTGGATTCAATTACGACGATTTTTTTTCACTTTTTTTAATTTTTAACTAAGAGCGTACCTACGGCCCACTTAGATATTTCAACTGCATCAACATTTATATTCAAGGAACATCTGGTATAAATATGATCATGGGCCGTAGGTACGCTCATAGTTTAAAATACAGAAAAAGGTTTGGAAAGTGCCATTTTTATGCCCTTTTCTCGAATCTTGAGGTGTTTACAGCAACAAAGCATGAATAATATCAACGTAAGTTGACAAATCTATTGATGTTAACAAAAATACAGGTTTTAAACTTTAAAAATATACTATTATAATCCATGGCATGTCACTTTTAATTTGAACGAAAATTGGGGGCCGTTCTCTGATGCTTATCGTAACTTGTCCTTTCCTTGGTTACTATTTTTTTTTTTTGTGGATTCAGATGAAATTTAAGTCTTTGACAACATAAATTTCTATGGACTTTTACGGAGAACAAGTCAAAACCATGAATTCAAGTAATTAAAGTAATCATTCAATGTTTAAATGAAAGCCTAGTGTTGGAAGTATGAGTTGAAAATTAACCCAAGATTCAGATTTGAAGCAAAGGGAGATAACTACTGTCAATATCAGGATTGAAAATTGAAATAACTCTGGGAGATGATAGTTTCAGATAACCCAGAAGGAAAGTTTGTTTGGGTAATGGATATCATTTATACAATTTAATATCTTCTTTCCTCTTAGTCAAAACATTAAGTGATTGTTTTTTAAAT